CACACAAACACACAAACACACACGGTCACTCGCTCAACTATACTTGCCTGTGCGTAAAGAGCGCCGCTGCACTGTACAAACGGTACTGCCACTGCCAGTGTGAAAGTGCTGTGCGCTACAACGCTCACTGTCAAACTGTGGTCCACATGATCCCCCCGGGGGGGGGGGCTCACTATAAAATGAGGAATAATGTAATTTCACGGTAATCCGCTTTGCTTTTATCCAGATTACAGAATGCATATGTATGAATGTTCACCATTGTTATCGCCCTTTGCGCAGGTGAGTTACACAGATCAGCTCAAAAACACAGTATATTGTTTCCAATGTCCCTGCAGGACTTACAACTTAAAATAGTTTGATCAAATGGGTGCCCTTGCAATGACAACGCGTAAAAAAGGGTACAACTATCCAACCCGATGTCCTACAAACCCATATTTCAAATACATGAAAACATGATGCAGACGTCGCAGCTTGTTACCCATACTATAATTGTTATTTAGGGAAAAACTAGTCTGGAGGGGAAGAAGGAACAGAGTCAAGAAGGAACTTCTGAAACATAGTCGTGCATCAGACAGCCTGTCTATCCACAGGAGGGAAGACAAGAGCACAGTAGCCTGTTGTACAGCGAGGCTGTCACTCGTCTGCGTTTGTCCACACTTTGTCAAAAGGACACGTGTGATGGACATTAAATGCTCCCCTCTCCCTCCAAAGTTAACAGTGCCGCTCTGTGCACAAAGAAGACAGAGCATGTCACTCGCTTGGACTCATTCAGCAATATCACAACAAACATGTCCTGCTACAACCTGCCATCTGCTCAAACCCAACACCTGTGTTTCAGTAACACAGCGCTCTCTACGTTAGGCTGTGATTTTGACGTGTCTTTAACATTTGGATGCTGGCATGACAGTGAAAATGACAGCAGGAGGTGCGGAATTTATCTGCCAAGCACAAACACCATTGTTACATGCGCAAAAAGAACAACAGCAATGGAAAAGTATGCTGTCTAGATAGTTGTGCCACTGCGCTCAGTGCGCGCCGACCTGCTCCACTGATATACAAAAAACTGCGCACCGGGTGAACAGACGGATGCCTCTCACTCACCTGATTGCGAAGAGCTCGACCCGAACAAGAGGCAAGTCAGGAGAAAGCCGAAGCAACACGGGGCAGTCGTTGGTTTCATTGTTGTGCTTGGCAAGTATCTCCTTTTAAATTCACATGTCCAGCAGCGTATCCTTCCTTGAAACAGCCAGAAAGGATGACTCGTTTGCGCTTGAAGCCTGTTCAGCCTGTGAGTTTGGGGACTTAAGTCGCTTTTGACTAAGTTTACAGTTTGTCCGAGATGTCCTCCGCCTCGCCCCTCCGCGCCTGCAGGTCTAATTTGTGACTGACGTGAAGGCAAAATAGTCGAATATTAGTTTCCAACGCGCGCACTGTAAAGCTTGTCTAAACACTATAAAGCAGTACTCATGCCATTACTCCCCGACTTGGATACAGTATGCAGCTGTAGACTCGTAATCTTCAGACACACCTCCGAGCCCCTGAACTCCTCCTACAGGACTCTGTGATTGGCACAGGTGCCCGACGATCACCCTAAACCCCGCCAGACACAACTGCATACGCGCTGCTATTGGTTGACACAAGATGCCAAAACCCCGTGAATTTGTGCGTCGGCTCCGTTGCACCTGTCACACTGAACACAGTAAAGATAAATGCTGTTAGAAGGATTTATAGGTGTAATGGGTGAAATAGAGCTGAGTATCACTTATAGGTGGCTGCCCCATGCGCTTTTGAAGGTCTTATCCATATCTGATAATATATAGTCTCATATTGGAAGCGTTGTTGATTTAGTACTGAACTGAACTGTCAGCACTGTACTTTGGGAGGGTAGTGAGAGTGCCTAGAGCTAGAGTAGATTTTATTATATTATTATCTGGTTTATAGAGAATTAAATTGTCTTTTTGCTTTTGATCCGGTGACTCTAAATATTTATTCCTCCTATCTAAAGTTGCTTCATTTTATAAGACTGTGGTAAAACATGATCAGGCAAGGAAGAGAAGACATTTTGACAGCAAAATTATAAACCAAAACCCTTTTTTTCTCGCTGCATCTTGAGCAAAGATTTCCATTTTCCTCAGCTATCAGCATGCATTACTGTTGGCAATATCTCTCCATATCCAGGGTAATCATTTCCCCCAGGGGTGGCTCAGTGTAAATGACACAAATAAAAGTCAAATAGAACGTTTAGATAGTGATATTATTGTGCTCACTGAGGTATTTGTAATAGTTTGAAAGCTGTGTCTTTGTAGTGGCGTAAAAATAACTAAGATAATGGGAGCATAGGAAACAATGTGACAAAAGGTTATTACTTTCTGAAACAGCTGTTTCCTATACTTTCACACTTTGGAGAAGGGTGAAGACCTCCCGGAGTTACAGTATGTCCACACATCTGGACAGAAATCATGCACTCTGACTGTCCCCCCACCCCATGTTCTCTCCACACAAACACAGGGACACACACAAGTGCAACCAGAGTCCGAAAGGGCATACAATACTTTTAATGTTTGTATTAGACTTGGTTAATCAGTAAGGAAAATAAATAAAATACAATAGATATTGTATCTATTTATCAGATTCATTCACTTCAATATATTTTGGGTTAGTTAGTTCAATTTATTTATTCACGTAAAAGGGTAAAATAATTGCTTTTTACCTTCAACTTTTGATAATTAAGCCACTATATAAGCTGAAACACAGAAGACTCTCCACCATAACATACACTGTCAACTGTAAGACTGTTTTATCATAGTGGGGTCTTTTTAGGGACAAATGGTGATATTTATGCTCTTCTGAAAGTGGTTATTAGCTTTATTATGACTGGAGGAGGCAGTTTACCTTCCTTTTAATTTTCCATTACATCAAAGTATATGCCCGAGCAATAATCTACTCAAGTCCATAAACATCCTATAAACAGGTCACTTCTCCCCAGAAATCACTCAAGGCTTGTGTTTGCTTCTAATAGGGAGGCATACCGCTCGCCCAGTGCCCACACACACACCCACTGCCTGGCCCGGTGCTTTTTTTGATCCTGGAACAGTGAGCTAAACTTCCCTGAGCCAAGTGTACGCAACACTTTAAGAAAATGGGATGCAGACAGTTTTCACTTTGAAGAAAGTCAAAAGGCTCTGTTGTTTTCAGCTTGGTTGCAAAATGAATAGTGCACTGAACTGTGAGGGGCACTTCTTGAACCTTTGCTGCAGTATTGACCCTTCGCCAGTGGGGGGCAGTCCATTTCTCACCTCATAGGTCATGGGACCAGCAGAGTGACACAGTGGGGGGTGGGCCATCCAAGCTGCCACCAACTAGTTTCATGACTCTCTGTGTGACATTGGCTTCCTATCACACAGCCGCTTTATTAAATATTCCTCAGCAGAAATGAGCTTTTAATATCACTGACACCACAAATTTATTAAGAAATATGGAAAAATGAGATCTGGCAACATGCTACGAGGAGAGGCTTCGCTCTAAATATGCCCCAAATGGCTGCCGTTTATCATTTTTAATACCAAAAATGCAATTTAGCAACGTTGTGTATTTTCATTATACATTTCGCTTTAAGAGGCACCTTCTGACAGTATCACCCTAATGCTGTCAATTAGGTAATTTATTCCAGGGGATTATGAGAGGGAATGAGACGAGGTTTCATGTGTTCTTCAAGGCGTTCCCCGGTGCCTGCTGTACAGCTAATCTAATACATAACCCCCTGATTTGTTTAATGGATGAGACTTTGCTGCTGCAAGAGGCACGCCAATAAAAGTCGGGGCCCTCCAGAGGCTATTGTGCCTCATAATGATGCCAGACACACAATGTGAGAGTTATGAAGCAATTTTTTATCATGCGGCACATTGTTTTGCTCTGTTGGTGCCGTGCAAGTATAAAGGCAATCTCTCCCTGCAGCAAAGCACTTCTCCCCCACACTTAGATAAACCTTCAGTATGATAAACTGTCCCAGCCACATGTTGCAGAGATGAAGGAAGTTTAGGATTTAAATACGTGTCCTATACAGAGAATTTGCTTGTTAGTCAACTTAGACTTTTCGTTAATCATTTCTTTATTCTTTTTCAGAGATTTTATTCTACTTTTATGTTGAATGAGAGTATTCCTGGGAAATAATCAAACCGTGTTTGAAGGCTACAGCAGCTAGGAGACATTTTCTACAGTCAGACAGTAGAAAAGCAGAAAAAATGTGTTAATTGCAGAAAAGCTGAAGACAAACAAAGGACATGCTGGTCCTTGGGCATATGTTACATGGCTCTGGAGAAAATGAGGAGAAAAACAGTATGTACTCATTTAGACATATATTTTATACTGTCTTGTAGCACTGCTGTGGCCTGGGAGGGAGAGCATTTTGTTGTTTTTATGTATGCAGATAAAAGGAAATTACAATAAACTAAATCTTGAATCTGCCTGCCTCTGTCTGCATGGGGTTCTACAGTGTCATTCAAGTTATGTTATGTAAGAGTAGGATTTCTTAACAGCAAACACATGAAGTACAGCACTCAGTACTAAATTGCTTATTTCTGAGCAGGACAAAAGCAACATTTAAGTCATATGCATCTAAACAAAAGACGTTCTGAAGGCAGATAGCACCACAGGTCTTCTTCCATATCTCTGTGTGCTCCCATCTTTCCAAACTATAAGGGAGAAAGAAGATGAATACTTCTTTAAATATATATATATATATATATTTCTATTTCTGAGATGTTGGGGCTGCAAAAACTTAGAGCCATTTGTTATTGTCAAAACAAAATGGTTTGTTGAATAGATAATGCTGAAGTAGTCTGAGGAAGGCAACCAAAGAGCTAAAAGACTATCACAACACTTTTGAGTATTTCAGTCTTTTTACACAGAGTGTTATATGTTATATCAGTATGCTCACATGCACAAAATATAAATATGTTTGACCAATAATTCGATTTTGTTTTCATGAAGTACCATTTTCTTGGTTTCTGGGTTTTTTAAAGTTAAAAAAATTAAAAGAGTTAAATAAATTGATGCACTGGTTTTACCTATTGGGATAATCCTATGTGATTGTCCTATATGCTTGTCCTTGATGAGCAACATTATAAACATTGGGTAGGTTCATTAGAATTTACCGGTTTCTGAATAACTTGCCAACAAATACTTTAGACCACCACTTTGGAACTTGCCTTTGGCTTGAATCGAAGCCATAACAAGTGATACTTTTGCATACTATTTACATCAGCTTTATATGCATAACTAACATGATATATGCAGCATCAGTAATCATCATGCAAACCAGGAAATCTTGCGTAACGGAGCCTAAATGAGAATATTTGTACAACAAACTCTGAATTCTCATGGGTGGATCAGGAAGCTGTAAGCTTTGTGATTCACATCAGAAGATTAGTTTATCATAGAGGGATTCAAAATGCAGATCAGTGGAGATGGCAGCACTAAGATGGGTAGTGTTTTATACACAGTAGATTTAATTATCTCAAAAATAATTGTAACTGCTGATGATAGATAACTTTGTTATCAACAGCCACAATGAGGTGATTAATTGCCCCCAGGATTACATGGCATTAAACTTGTTGCATAGGTTCAGGCATGAAATCCTTGCGCGGTAACATTCCATCATATATATGTCAATATCAGTATCAGTCATTGATGTTTTATAAGATAAGCATTTACAGACATTGTGATTGGTTCATAATAATCACACCATTGTCATTTTGCAGCAGTTTGCAAGAACTTAAGCATTGCAAAAAATCTATTCAATATACTGTATGAATATGTGAAAAAGAAATCTAATTCGTGAGATCAGACTTTGTGCTGAAGGATAACTACAAGGTTGATTTTAACTTAAGAGCAACACCCTTAAACAGTGTTAGTCCTAGTTTAAAGACAGCTGAACCAGTTTTTGTGAAAATGGCAGAATCTATCTGTAAAGCTTAGAAAACAAGCCAAATGCTTCCACGGAGGAGAATTTTTTGAATGTTTACATCAGTGCAGTAATCCAACTGGGTATGAATCATAAAAAGTGCCTATTTCCCAGTGTAATTTATTCACATAGTCACTCCCCTGAGAAAGAGGAAGCAACAGGAATTATTTGGCTTTGCGGGAGACTTGTTTGTGTGGACACATTTAAAGTGGCAGGTCCACCACAATAGATGTATCTCTCTGAGTGAACGTGTTGTACACTTATAGCTATTTCCCTTCATATTTTTCCTCTCAGTAGACTCATGTGGTGGCTAAAGATTTAACTGAAACTCTGACTAGCTCTGCATGAGCCTGACTCAGTGAGCAATAAGCAGCGTTAGCGCATTACACACACATGATTACGTGGCCATTTCCTCAGTGAATGAGTCTCATCAGAAGTCACTGAAGAAGCCACTGAGTGTGTAATTGTTTCCCATTAGGGG